GTGTTTCTGACACCTCTGAATCCCTCCCCTCCTCTCTCCCCTGACTGGCCTGGTGTGTGTGATGCTGTCCTGGAGCTGGCTTCTCTCCTGCAGCTGGCGTGCCAGTCTCTCCTGCAGCCCCGCCAGTCTGTCGGTCACGGCACTGAGCTCCGATCTGGCGGCTGCCAGTTTTGCCTGCTGTTCTTCGAGCTCTGTCTGTGCCACGCTCAGACAGGCCCTCTTTGGTGCCACAATCTGAGACGATACATATACAGACCACTTCAGATGATGTCTCATTGTGATGAACTACAACTGACGCAGACTTTTTTTAAGCGAATATTTTGATCAGAACCTCATCAAATTTATTGTGAAAGACGTTAAACGTCCATGAACCCCTCTCCCCAGAAAATAAAATGTTTTGATTGCATAAGTATTTTGTTACGGCACACTTAAATTAATTTGGGAGCACAAAATTCCCTTTTTGTTCACCAAAACTGGAATTGTAATTCAGCGCATTGGGACATGTTTGTCAAGGGGTGAATACTTTTGCAAGATGCAGTATATTGATAAGTGTCTATGTCTACTGTTCTGTGTTGTTTACTGTATGTGAATATTTGCTAATTGGTTCATCTGTAGTTTGATTTCCTCACTGTAGCCAATCAGTAAACAGAGGTAATGTTTTCTTCAAAGTCCTTTTGATTGGTCTGTTTTATATACATATTTTTTTTTCATTACACCACAGCTATTAATTACTTATTGCAGTTAATTGATGTCCGCAGTTGTCCTTTAGAAACACAGTAATGGACTGATCAGTCCAGTTGAATTGAATTATACTGCATGTGGAGAAAAAGGAGAGAGGCCCTACCTTGGCCACTCTGTCATAGACCTCTATGGCCCTGACCCAGCTGCACAGCCCCTCACAGGCAGAAGACACTGCTCGGATTGCTGCAGGCTGGAACTCCTCACTGGAGATGAAATCCCGTCTGATCTGGGCCATCACACGTGGTGGGATGTTGTCCTTGTCAAAGTCCTGGGTCGCAACAGTCCAGGCCAGAATCAGTCATGCACAACATGTAACACATTCACTGACAGGCTAAAAACAATTGTAGAGCCAAGCCCTGTCAGTGTTGAACATAGAAGACTATGAAGGAACCTGATACCAATTTTCAAAATCCTCAGCTGATCCTCTTCGGAATCAACAGTGAAACATGAACCCGAAGACATCCGTGGAAACTACTGTAGGCGGAAGTACATTAAAACTGAGAACATGAGGCACTTAGTTACCCAAAGGGTTATGGGAGTATGAAACAAGCCACTCAGCCATGTTGTTGAAGCCAATATCTTGCCTGCCTTCAAGAAAAAGCTGGGTGAAATCCTTGGATCAATTGACTACTAAATATGAAAAATGCATGATGGGACGAAAGGACCCCTCTTGCTCGTAACCCTTCTCATCCTACTCTCCAGGAATAGCTGCTACCCCTGCACTCCTGTGTCTCTATTACTCACACAGTCATCAGGAAGGCCCCATTAATGTGATCTGCCCCACGTATTGTCTTCATTTCTTATTTGCTTTGGGAAAGGAAGCAAACCAAACAACAAACTAAGAGAAATCTAATGGAGATTCATGAAGTTGCTCAAATTTTCAAACGGAGACCAGCAAACGGCCTTACACCATATACTCAGTGCCTAGCAAAATAGCCATCTCTGAGTGGCCTGTTCTCAACACAAAATGTTTTGTTTAAATATTCGAACTTCTCAGAATATATTCTCAGCTCTCAGAGGTGGTACCTTCAGAGATTCTAGGAACTTCATGTCCCCCAGCATCTTCTTGGCGGCAGGCCAGTAGTCGTCAGTGCTCCTCCCCACGCTGTCCACCCTCTTCTCTGGCTTGATGCCCTGCCATACAGAAGGTCAAGAAATGGGCTCTCAGTTTCATTGGCCTCCCCTGTCTCCCTCTGCTGTACCTCTTTCCCAACTGCTCAGACCTAAGCATTAGTCCAAACTGCCTCCCTGTCTCAGCTCTAACCTCTAGCCTGCACTCCCCATTGTCTCAGCCCCACTACACGCTGGGAGGGCAGTTTCTGTTAATCTGAGTCCTCACTTCCATCACCTGGTGATCCACCCAGCCTCTGTCTCTGAAGTGTAATGTGTTCCACTGCCTACTGCTACGTAACTCAGCATTTCACAATTTTTTCTATGTTGTTGTCAACACTACAGCACAGACACTGATGAATGAGGACTGCAGGGTGAGCGCCCCCTACTGGCCCCACGAACACCTCTTCCAGCAGCGACCTTAGCTTTCTCCCATCCAGGTACTGACCAGGCTCACACCTGCTGGGCTTCAGTGGGGCTGCCAGGTGGGAGCTGCAGGGTGATTGGGCTCACCAGCATCCCTGCAGGAATCCTATGATTTGTGGAAGGGGTGGGCCGCTGGGCCACGATATTGGGAAGCCACGTATGTATTAGCGAATTAATGTGTTTTTGTTCTCTAATTAACACACAAAGAAGCGCAATCGACCTATTGATTCCACAATATCTGTGCTGAGGCAGCGCCCTCTCCGTCAGGTCCCAACTTGTTCTAACGCCCACTCCTAGCCACTGTGCGGTACCCGCTCTCCTGTCTGACCCCCTGGGCTGCGTCCCAGCCAGACCCGCCCTGACCTTGAGCACGCACACGGCTGCCAGGGTGATGCGCACGCCCGCTGGGGGGTTCTGCATGGTCTTGACCAGCGTGATGTCACTGCCCCTCAGCGTGTCCAGGGCTGCCACCGCCGCCTCCAGGGCCGGCAGGGCCACACTCAGCTGCTGCTCGCACTCCTCCTGCAGGAGAGAGGGGGGGAGGCGAGTGGGTGTCAGGGAGGGGGAGATGGATTTTCGATGTGTTAGGTTATGTAGGAAAGATCTACAAAATAACTCCATCATGGAAACATCTGGCATCGGAATACGTTAAAACACAACCCCCAGGGAAAGTTTTGACGTAACTTCGTTCTTCTCCTTGGCGGTACCTTGATGCTCTGAGCCTCCAGGGCTGCGCTGTTGGCCGTGGCCTCATCGGCCTCCACTTCTCTTTTCACGGCCTCAACCTCACGCGTCTCTTTGGCGATAACCCCCAGCAGCTCTTCGGTCTCTGCGCTGCGCTGCACCAAGAGTGGCTCCAGCTCCTTCAGCTCCTGCTGCATCTCGGCGATCTGCAAAACACACAGCGCCCCCTGCTGTCACACCACCGGTACTACAACCCACTGAATTCCCATCGTTCTATTGCAAGCTCAGTCCTTGGTGGACACACTGCCAATGGCTTTCAATCCATCTGCAGTCACCCTTAATTTAACTAATAATCTATGCAAGGGAATCTATTAAACCCATGAAAATCATTTTAATAATCTGAACTCTAAACGGATCATGGGCCATTTTAATTCATTACATAATTAGCTCAATTAAGACCTCCAAATGAACAAGCTGATCCAGAGTCCTTTGAGAATGGAGTTTTGGAAATTTGCACAAAAGTGAGAGACTAACCTGTGCAGACTTCCCTGACCCTCTAGCCTAGTGAGATTCCGGGTGGGGAAGTAAGTGAGGTGGAGGGACTGACCTGTGCAGATATATACAGGTATGGGTTTTGGCCTGGCAGTGAGGCTGAGTGAGTCAGTCGGACAGTGTGAGGCAGAGCTGCAGGGGTTACCTGTGTCGAGGCGAGGTCCAGTCTCTCCAGCCCAGTGAGGTAGCGCTCTCTGTCGGTCAGCAGCTCCAGACGCTGTCTCTCCAGGAGGCTCCGAAAGGTCTTCAGCAGCTCCAGGTAGGAATTGGGAGTCACATAGGTTCTCCTTTGCAGGGAGGCATAAAACCTACAAAGAGCACCAAGCAACTAACCAAAGAACTATGGTTGATGGGCATTGTATTTCACCTTTGAAATGGAACAAAACAGAGTCCTAAAACATCATACCTGATAATCTGGTCTACAGTTGGTTATGCCTGCCTGTGCACCACAGAGGACTATTCTGTCTGTCCATTGCTATGCAATATTTGGCTCAAGGCGACAGTCAGATGGGCTGTCAATCAGTGCAGACTCTGCAGTGCAGTTACACATGTGATTCAACAGCTCCCTGCGGTTTGATTTGCTTGAGAATTGGACTTTTCTCTAGTGAAATGTGTCGGACTTGATATTAAGCAATGGTAAAAGATTTACAGCGGGAAAACAATTATTATCTTACTGTTACTAATGGACACAAAATTCCACACACTGACCAAACACATACCTAACTGTCGTGGGACAAGTCTGAGCGCACTGATTGACCCGCTGTGCCGGACCGCACTGACAAACACACTGATCAGTAGCGATTATTGGCGATCGTCACCTCTCAGACAGAGCAGCAACACTCTGGTGGATGTATTTACACAGGAAGACTGCTCCTGCCCGCACTTCCTGCGAGAGCTCCACATCATCCAGGAAGTGACATGCCACCTTCTGCAGGGCGTCGTCTGGCCAGGCCTGGGAAGAGAGATCAGAGAGGGTAAAGAAGGACAGAGGATGAGGAGAGCAGTGAGACAGAGATGGAAACAGACGTTTAGAGGATCACGGTTCAAGGAAGAGAGCGGAATTGAGCTCAGAGATTAGACACGGGTCCAGAAGAACAGCAGCGAGCAGGATCAAGAGGTTCACTGTAACCTGGAAGTAGTCAATGGTGCAGCAGTTGAGGAGGGCCGGGGCTCGACGCAGACGGTCTCGCAGGGTTGAGCCACTGGGACTGAAGGCCAGGACCACAGTGAGGAGAGAGCGAATACGCTGCACAAACGTGGTGTATAGAGAGGCTGGGGACTGTCCCTGAGTGGAAGAGAGCTGCTGCATCTGATTAAGAGAGGGAAGCATAGTTGCGTTATAACAGCACTGGGTCAAAGTTGAAGATGTATTTCTAAAATATGCATTAAAAATCTCAGTACAATAATGCTGTGGAATCGGCTGCACCGTCTATTGTATTGCTTTAGAAATTAGAGCCTTCCCATAACCCACTTCATCAGAAAGAAAACTGAAAATTGCTTAATAGGTTGAATGAAAGTATGAGAGAGAACAGCAAGTAGAATTCAGACGAGGTGAAGAGAGAAACACTTCGAGAGAAACAAAGTAAAGAAGTAATAAAAATACATTCAATGTGTAAGGAAAAAGACATATGTCCAGAGTGCAGTCTGAGCCCAGTCTTCAGTCATCAGTACTTTGATCCTGGGTTACGTCAGTGGGTTAGGTGACTGTGACCAGGGTCTCCCAAGTGATGCTTCACACCGTCCTGTCACGCCCAGTACACCTAGAGGACACTCTCTCATACTTCTCTCCTGTTCCTAGTTCCCTGTGATTATTCATGTCTTTCTGGTGTGTCTTGTTGTGTAGCCTATTTACTTCTTGCTTCTGCTCTGCTCCTCACTCAGCATTGAGGTTTAGATGTCCTGAGACCCGCCTAGCACTACTGTAGGTCGCCCCACGTCTGCTACCTGGGGGCATAGGTTTCTATACGGCATTTCCTGAACAGCTGAGCCTGGGCTAACCCCCGTCTCGCCTCTACGCATAGGGTCTATTTTCGCTGTCCTGCCATTCCACGGTTCGTCCTTTACGACATCCGTGACACCTCCTGAGAGGCAGTGTGAAACAGAGGTGAGGGCTCCAGACTCTTGACGGTCATGCATTCAAATCCCTGATGCTGCTCTTGAATCTTTACTCAGGTTGCTACAGCTATTGCCAAGCTGCATGACTGGATCTCCACGTCATTATTCAAAATGAGAATTCAATCTCAATTGACTTGTCTGTTTGAATTGCCACCCGAGCAAATTACTCCTTGATTTTTGACAGCTGTACTACTCTGACAGGTTAATTGAACAGAATTGTTCCAGTTTGAACAGAGAAGACTATGAGGAGCCTGGATTCAAGTCTGCAGAAGAGTGCGGGCCATAGTTCTCTGTCTCACACTCATGACTTCTAATGAAAGCAGATTTGAATTTGAAAGTCAATTACAAAGGAAGAGAGATTTGAACAGAAAGAGTCGTGGCTAGCACTGGTGCCTCAGAGTTTTTTTGCTCCACACAGCCTTTTGTATGGAGTATGTATATTCCCCACATGTTCACATGTTTTTTGTCTGGGTTCCTCTAACCCTCCAAAGACATTCTGGCTATGTTCATTGATGTCTCTAAATTGTCCTTGGGTGTTCACCCGGTGATGGACTGGAGTTCCATCCAGGATGTGGTCCTGACCCAAATCTTCTGCTTCTGGGATAAGCTCTGGGTTGCTCTGACCTTTGTCAGGTATAAACAGCCTTCTGATGTTGGACGGGTGGAAGCTCAAGTATGAGAGACTGAGGGAGAGACAGAGAGAGTGTGGTCTCACCTTGTGGATGATGTTCAGTCTCTCCTCATTGTCAAACAGCCCAGGGATCTCCCCACTGCTCAGGATCAGACTGAGCTCTTCCAGGAAAGACTCATCCTGCAGCACACACAGATCAATTAATGAACCAATCAATCTCTTCATTTCTTCTAAAAATAATATACAGTACCTTGCAAAAGAATTCACGCCCTTCCAAAGACCCTGCACATTTTGCTCAGTTACAAATGATGTATGCACATTTTGCTAAACTGAATAGTTCATAGTCAAACAAATTCCAAACTAAACAGGTTGATTACATACGTGTTCACCATACTTGGCCCATCGTTTTAGTGAGCACTGTCCTGCTCTTTAGTCCTCAAAGTGCTTTAGCATCAAAATTATATCTAGCAATGCAAATCTTAATACTAGCCTTAACCTTAACCCTCATCTGAAACCCTAAGCCTATCCCCTGCCCTATTACTACTAACTCAATCACTAGAATTGACTTTATCCCTAACCTCAGCCACACACCTGAAGGAAAGGGTTAAGACCGTATTGGAGGTCGGGCGGGAAAAAATGCCTGAGGAGTAACAGAAGTTGTCATATAAGATTTACGGAGCTAAACTGAGCCGGACTTAAAAATAATGTTCAAGGACTAGTGCGGAGTGGATATCTGGAGTTGTAAATGAGCGGTCTTTGTTCTGTGATATCTTTACTTAATGCTTTATTGCACAAATATGTTAACGACTCCCTTGGAGTGGTATCACTCCTCAGGAAACGCTTCCTCCTCTGTGCTTGTTTTTTGTGTAACTGCTTGATGATATAAATGGGAAAGTCCCAGCTTAAACTTTGAATTGACTAGGGATCCTGTGGCTGATCAATTCCTGTATGCATACATACTAAACTCACTGCGCCTTTCTCACAAACGAACTGACTGAGAGTGTGGATTTTCTACACACCTAACCTTAACCTTTCCTCTCCCGTTCTCTTTGTGCATCTCAGTGTCTCACTCTCTCGGCGTCTTGCTCCCTCTCTGTCCCTCTCTCTCTTGGGCCAGGTGCTGCGGAGCCACAGACTGACCTTGATCTGGTGGTCTGAGAACAGGAAGGCAGTGGGGGTCCCCTGTAGGCCCGGCCCCCTCAGCAGGCGTCTCAGGTCCTCATGCCAATCAGATAGCGAGTACGACCGCTGAACTTTGACCTGGAAGACCTCCACGCCTGACATGTAGGCAGCCAATCGCGTGGCAGAGTGCCGCCCACTACCTCCCATGCCTGAGAAAGAGACAGAAGGAGAGGCAGAGGAAGAAAGATGTAGAAATATTAGCCAGTCCCCAACAACTAACACTTAGAAGTCCCTCCATCCATTTTTTAGCCTCTTTACTCAATACAGGGTTGCAGCAGATCTGAAGCCTGTCCCAGCAAGCAATGGGTACAAGGCGGGATACACCCTGGATAGGATGCCAGTCCATCGCATAGAACACACAGACACAAGCATCCACACACTCACACCAGCGTCAGTTTTCCCAGAAGCTAATTAACCTACCAGTATGTCTTTAGACTGCGGGAGGAAACACGTACAAATGTGGGTAAGACATTTGCTTCATGAAGCTAGCACCCAGGAATTGAACCCTTGGGCCCAGCACTGTGAAGCAGAAATGCTAACCACTGCACTGCCGCCCTGCCCACACATAGAAGTCCCGGCTATGGCTTTAAAAGCAATTGTCCAGTACAGAAATCAGCGCTCTTCTGGTCTCTGGCCCTTCCTCGAACTCTACCCATGTCCTTCTTTCACTGCCTCCCCCCTTTCCTGTATCTAGTCGGCTAGAAACTAAGTCAAAAGTATAAATCAATAAGCTGTTCATCTGCAGGGACATTTCTGAGAAACTCTCATCAATACAACTACTGTAGATTGCTCTTTACAAACATACATGCAAGACTAGCCACCCAGCCAGCCCACAGAAACACCATGAGCACTGGAAGATTTTACCACCTCACAATCCATGGGACTGAATTCCGTGTGGCTCACCAATAAGCAGGGCATGTTCCCCTGGCAGCGCGAAGACTCTGGCCAGCCTGGAGATGTGCTCGACAGCGAACTGGAACAGCACCAGGTCCAGAGGGGTCTTGGACCCGGCGTTGTACTCCTGCAGATAGCTCTGCATGGCCTGCTCAGGGCATGACACAGACAGCCATGATGGTGCAGAGCACAGTGCATCAGCAGATGTATTCTTACACTTATCTGACATGCACTCTGCATGTTGGAACACTTCATCTCACTTGCATCGTGCTTCCCTGTGATTTCACTTTGAAATGCGATCATAATGAGGCCACACCTGTATCATGAGCTCTCATTTTCAGTATGATATTGGAAATGGACAGTGCAGAAGTGATACTGAAGAGTGCTTATACAAGAACTTATACAAGCCTAACAGTGTACCATAGTCTTATAGCCCAACAATATACAGTATACTCTTTCCTTCTTCTCAGGCTCCCCGAATGGTTTAATTTGATATGGTCATTTTCCAATAATTTCCGTTCCAGAGGTTTCTTGGACAAATCAGTATCTAAATGTAAACAGGTCACTTCAGAGGGGAAAACAGCTTGGTCTTTGTGAATTGACTGTAAGAACAGTTCTAAATGACAGAAGGCCATTTGGTGCACATTGCTCAATTGGTTGTTAGTAGATAATTGATCAGGGTATCGTATCCAACTCTTTCTTGAAAAAAGCCGGAGTATTTTGAAATCTTATATCAGGCCCCCATGTGATCTTCTCTGTTCAAGACTAAAAAAGGGTCTGTCCCTTCAGCCTGCCAGTATTTAATACCAAATACATCTCAGGATATGATCTTGTGACTTCTAGTGCAGGTGCAACCAATCTAATTATGCTGACGTTTCTAAAAATTGCATTCCCAATAGAAAAAACAAGCAATTGGCAATTGACAGCAACAGAGTCCAGATCTATAGACAGACCAAGATAAAGAGTTTTGTTCTTTTTGTCAACTATTGGTCTTATCAGGGTCGCATGTTTGGTCTGTTCCTGAATTTCTAAGTGTTTTACAAATGTCAAAATTGCTTAAAATTGGCCTACAAAATGCACATTTTTAGAAAACAACTAAATCAGATTAAATCATTTGGGAGATCCTGCCAAATAAGTAAAGTTTATTGATATTATTCTAGACGCTTTAGATAACACCCTTTAATTCCAGTCCAATTAGTCAAAGTGTAGTGTTCCAGAAAGAAATACAGTACCTATATTGCACGCTATTCTTTAAAGTGTTTTATTCTGGCAAACTGATTCAAATAAACACATTGAATTTATCTGTAAAAGCAACAAAACAATACAATTATTATCTATGTTAAAGCCTGTAAATGAACATTTCCATTTTCAGAATGAACCCCTAAAAAGCCTGACAATGGGTGATCTGATCATATAACATTAGGGGATTACAAGGGTTTTAGTAGTTTAAAAGAGAGTGTTTCTTTTTACAAACAGCAGATGGCAGTCTATAACTTAATATGGCATCATCTGAATGAAACCTCTGTCCAAAGTGCCCTGCTTTACTAACAGAACGGTCCTCTCTCCAGATAGCTGGTAATAACACACCTATTCTAACCTCTGGCATAATGGTAACACCAGTATCTGAAAAGGTAAACTACTGTTTAAGAGGTGAACCAAAAAATATTCCTTTCAAATGCTACTAAAACTTCAATAGTTGGACTGACACTCAATTTGCATTGTGGTATAATGGAATGAAAATGATATGATATATGATATGTATGATAATTCTACTGCTGGATTACATCATGACATGTAAGTGTTTCAGCTGTAATTGAATGGAATTGGCGTTTTGTTTCCAGGGGTGGCACCCACACCCCAGATGTTCAGGTCTCCGGGGGCTTGAAAGTGTTTGTCTTCTTCATCGTGTGTTTTGTGTTTTCTGAGTCACATTGTACAGATATTTGCAGATATGGTTTTAAATGGGGTGGTCCTCTTCTAAACTAGAGGGGGGGGGGTCTTCTGTCCCCACCAAGATGTGAAGGTGTTCCTGTCCCCAGCTGGTTTCTGAGGTTCAGACGTGTGGCTGTGGTGAGGTGTCTGTGACCAGTGTGTTGCGGTATTATTGCAGTGTAGCAGGGAGTGTGGCTGATTTCTCACTGTGAGTGCAGCTGTACCTTCCCTGACGGAGTGACCTGCAGAGCTGTGGAATGGCCAAGGGCAAAACAGGACATGGGAATAAGTCAAGAAATTCAGTCATGGTGCTTTTTTTCACATTTTGTGTTTCACGGACACAGGATGTTTAACAGGGAGTGTTAAAACCGCGATTTTCAGAGCATTTTTTCTCTAGACCAAACATTGACTCCATATTTGCCTTCAAGACCAACATAATGCTTATCTTGTTTTGCCAAATTAAGTTCGATCGAAAACAATCATTTCAGTTTTCCACGGTGAGCAGGGAGACAAGGTAGTGAATGGCACAGGAGTGGCGTACTAAGTACTTCTTCGTGAAACCCCAGCGTCAGGGTGGTTTCAGGTGATGGGTGGAGATTAATCTGCACCAGTAGCATTTTGAATCTTCTTCTACATGTGTCTGCTGTCCGTCTGTCATTCCTGTTGTCAGCCCATTGTAGTCAATGCCCCAGTGGGAAAATCCGGCGAGCCCAGTCACCAGTACTGTCCCTGAGCGTTCAGGTGAGGCCCTGTGGCTGAAGTGGGAGACAGCTCAGTCAGGCCATGGGCTGACCCAACAGAGAGTCAACGTGGCAGGTTGTTTGCTTTTAATGAAAGGTTCAAGATTAATGCCACCCATGTCACCTTGCAGCTCCCACCTGGCAGCCCACTGAAGCTCAGCAGGTTTGAGCCTGGATGGGAGACCTCCTGGGAAAAGCTAAGGTTGCTGCTGGGAAAAAAAAAGTGTTAGTGGGGGCCAGTAGGGGGCGCTCACCCCACGGTCTGTGCAGGTCCTAATGCCCCATTATAGTGATGGGGACACTAGGCTGTGAAAAGGCGCCGTCCTTCGGATGACACGTAAAACCGAGGTCCTGACTCTCTGTGGTCATTAAAAATCCCAGGGTGTTTCTCGAAAAGGGTAGGGGTGTCCTGGTCAAATTTCTCCCTGCCTTTACCAATCATGGCCTCCTAATAATCCCCATCTGTGAACTGGCTTCATCACTCTGCTCTCCTCCCCACTGATACTGTATGTAGAGGCAGCAGCTCGTGAGTTCACACGGAGTTGCTCTAGGACAGTGGTTATCAAACTTTTGTCACCCACAGGCCACCTTAAGTATTTCTTTACTGACCATGAACCTCACATCGGACAAAAGCGTTGGGTCAGCTGCGAGCGGGACGAAGGGGAGAGACCGAGCCCCTTCTCAGACACCACCTTGTCTCCCTGTTCTCAGGCCACTTATCCGTACTGATCAATATCGGAGTTCATTTGAAATTGCTAAATTAAAACTGATTCTGACACGTTACGCTTATCACTAGAACATAAAAATGACTCCACGAACAGACGACTAACCATTCAGTTGCATTGCAGATACAAATGCTGATACCAATTGCGTAATCGGATGCAATGCTGATGAAAGATCGAGACAGAGTGAGCCGGGAGTGCCGAGTACCGTAACTGCAGACGCTATTTCGCGAACAACGCGCATTTAGAAGCCACTTCCCGAAAGACACTCTGCCGTCGTGACTTGACGGCGCAAGCGCTCCGTAGTAATATCATGAGTTTGTTTTTGCAACTAACAAATCAAAATTGGAAGAAAATCAGATGTTTGCAAAAAAAAAAACTTTCTATATGCTAAACTCTCCAATTTTTGTGTTAAAAACAACCGGAATCTTAAATTTAGCCAAAATTTTAGGCGGAATCGTAATCCTAACCTTTACACCGATTATTTTGAACAGCATTTCAGCTGCATGTTACAAAAAACAAAAACTGGGCAAACCTGACGGCGAGGATGTCTCTTGCTACATTCACGCCTTTAGATTTTCAAAATATAGGAGGGAGTAAAAAGAATCCAAAACCCATCTGCCGACATAATGTACTCTGTTGATAGCCTTCAGCAGCAAGTGGGACCTACCTGCTGCAGTCTCTGGGTGTCTGTGATTTCATCATAGTAACGGGGAGCCCCTCCCTCCCCTTGAGATGGCAGATAATCTCCAAAGAAGAGGCCCCGGAGGTCCTCCTCGCACACCTCCCTGCCGCAGGCCAGGTGACCAAACAGCGAGGACGTCTTCTCCTTGAACTGAGTGCGCACCACTCCCTGGAACACACACGCGAGCACAGCCTGTCAGTGCGCTGGCGAGTCTGCCGCTGTGCCTGGGGTCAGATATAGACGCTCCAAGAAGCTCTGCTGTCCATGAACCTGTCGCAACCCAGTCACAGGTGTCAGGTGACAAGAACTTAATGATAAATATCGTTGATATCTGGGAGGTTTTAAGGAGTGTAACCTGTGTTTGCCATCAAACCCTCGGTGAATGTTTGCTGTGGTGCTTGTGCACACGTGACGTCCCTCATGTTACAGAGACATACAGTCCAAAGCTGCCGATAACTTCAACCAATTTAAAATTTATCCAGTATGTTAGGAACTTTGGAAAACACGTCTTCAACAGGAGCAATCAGCACAACTTCCCCTCAACAGGACCACTGTAAATTTAACAAGAAGGAGGGAATCTTCAGCAACATGGACTGAGTCCTAGAATGAGAAATGGATGGGCTTTTTATATGTCCCTCCCCTCTTCCAAGTCTGTGAAGGCCAGATCTGGCACAAATCAGGTACTGGCTGATCTCCAAGATGATCTGGAGCCTCCAGCTTGAAGAAGCCATGCTCCCCCGCTATGGTGAGACTGTGATTTACCGTGCGTGTTCCTGCCTCCAGGGAACTTCAGGGGACAGTGACAGGAGTCTGCCATCTACCAGTACACTCTTCCTTGTGGTACTTAATGCTTCATTGACACCGAAGTACAAATTCCCATTGCGCTCAAAAGTGGGACTGACCTACTGTACCAACCTTGAAAATACATTTATTGGGCACTTTGGGCACTTCCAGTATCTAAAGTGCTTTGTGATCCTCTGAGGTTAGAAGCAATACATACATGTAGTTAATTATTATGATAAATTATGAAAGTGCCAAAACAGATAATTAAACAAGCATATTGTGGCTTTTCTAACATTTCCTCTCACTACATATACTGCAAATGTTTATGTTTCTAACTGTGGCATCACTGCTGTATGTTGTGGTGCATACAGTAGGCAGTAACTGAGGTTTTGTGACACACCTGACCCTCAATATGATATCTGCAAAACAAAGCTCATTGTACAAGAGCCTGTTCCAAGTGGTGACATCATCTCCTTGACAGTGTAGAATTGTCTTCTGGTACAGTACAGTTCACTGCTGTTCACTCCAGAAGTGGTCTTCTGGTACAGTACAGTTCACTGCTGTCTAGTGAGTGGCTCTGTGTGTCTTTGACCTCACATGTGACCAAGATCAAATCTTAGCAGGGGCAGAATACAGCTGCACCCATCACATCTGCATGAAATAGTTAATTGAAGTTTGTGTATTAGGAGGACTTTTGGGGAATTTTATGAAATCCTTTTTCTGTGTTTTAGTGGTCAGGTTTATTCCTATAATCAAATCTGTATTAATATTTCTATTTTTAATTCTTTTTTTAAAACCATTTTGCAACTACTTAGTACCAATGAAGAAAACTTCCCTCTCACCAGCTGAAACTAATTCTTCTCAGATCTTGCAGATGGTGCTTTTAATTATATTACACATTCTGGCTGATTGTCTTCAGCTGTAAGGCTGAAGCAGGCTTGTGAATGTCCTTCTAACCCCATCTGAGGAAGCATAGCCCAAATAGAGCCAGTCCGCACCTTAAACAAGAGTTTAGTCCTGGAAAATGTTTTGTAAATTGAATTTTATGTAAATCACTCATGAGCCATTTACTGTCTTCTACTTTGATAGTATTTCATGAACACGTTTTTCGCATAGCCCTCTATATGCTGCGATAAAACAAATGCATCAGTCATGGTTTCATTTACTGTAGAAATCAAAAGTAAACGTAGTTAAATAGCAGAAATTATGTAAGACAGCATTATTTGAGGAAATGCTATAGTATGTGGCAACATGTAGTTCTCAGTACACACATCTATAAAAACATAGTAGTTCAGGTGGGTAGCTGCGTCAGCATGCATAGGTTGCAAAGGAACAAGCAATAGGTTTATTCCATGCTGAAAAAAGAAAGGAAACACAATGTTTTGGCTGTGGAGCCGTGGAGCCTCACACCTGAAGAAGGCTCCACACACCTGAAGAAGGCTCCATGACCGAAACGTTGTGTTTTCTTTCTTCTCTTTTCAGCATGGAATAAACGTGTTACTTGTTCCCCTAAAAATGTAGTCAAGGGGAAATTTTAACTGAATTTAGAGTGGTTTCGATTGCCGCTGAATTGGCGGAGTGGGGACCGCGCGCGATTGAATCGGCGGTCCTGGCGGCAGACCTGGACAATGCTGTAGAAGCGCCGCCTGTCCTTGCTGTCCTGGAGCCTGTCGGCGAAGACGCGCCACACCTCATGGACCCACAGCCTCATCAGCTTCCTGGCTCCCTCCGCACCTGCGGGCACCACGTCCCCCCTCAGGAGAGCCAGGCCCTGAGAGAGGAGCCGCGGAGACAGGGACAGACAGCTCGGGGTGAAAGGGTGCAATACCTTGGATGGTGGTAGTAGTAACAATAATAATGATAAAATAAACTTTATTTTATATAGCACCTTTAAAGATGGCTTCTCAAAGTGCTTTACAGAACGACAACAACTACAACAAAAATACAGAAGATACGGTATGCATAATGAGAGGCGACAGTAGATGGGGGTACTGAATATGGTAGGAGCAGAGGGAAAAATAACACAAATAAATGGTGAATAAAAGCCTGCAAAGCTAGAGACGTTTCAGCTATCCAATAGAGTATTACAAAGCTAGCAATCCAAGGTCTGAACAATCAATTGGGAGACAACTTTCCTAAAAAAGCAGCACTAACAGAAATAGTCGGTGGCAGGTTTAATGTCTTACGGGACCTCCCATAGGATATCTGTGACAGTAGGTCTTGCGGGGCTTCGGGTAGCTGCGGCTGAGCCTCACCTGGATGACTCGAGAGACGTCCCTCGGGTTGAAAGCGTAATGGGACTTGGAAGGCGTGGGCAGGAAGGTCACCACAGTCTGGGCATACACCTCTGCTGTGGCCCAGACCAGGATCTGATGGTCATCACAACACAACGAGAAAGGGTCAGAGCCCTCCCTCCTTTGCACAGACGCAGACACATCAAAAACATCACCTTCTGCACGCAGAGGTCGAGTGACAAAACTCTAAGTGTCAGATGTATAAGATGAGGAAACTGCAGAGGTGATCATGGATATACCATCATGGATCACGATCATGGACATTAACAGTAACAGCTGATATGCAATCAGTCGGTAATGGAAGATTGAAAACAGGCTGCAATGATGATCAATTGGACATAATGGGACTAACTACCGCATAATGGGACTAAGGAGCCTATTGATGTTGAGGGAGGAAGAGGACTCTGCGAGTTAGGAGAACAGGGAGGGACAGACAAGACTTGGAGGTTTTCGGAATGCGGATGGGACTCACCCTTGCATAGCGGCGCAGTGACGTCTCAAATCCACGCCCGAAGTGGCGCTCCGTCAGAGGCAGGAAGATCGATTTCAGCGTATCGCCGGTCAGGGCGTCAATGGAGAGGACGGCAAAGTGCCTGAGCAGCCGGGGGCACACTGCCTGCCTCCTGCCACTGGGGGGCGTCATTGCAGACAGGAACACGGTGTCCTGGAGCTGCAGCCTACTGCCGTCCTTACTGCCAAGACAACCAATCACAAATGTGGGCTTTACTATAGGAACAGCCAGCCATGGTATAGGCCTAACTATACAGTACATACAGCCAGTGACAGCGCTGCACACGTATCACGATGAGCTGTCATGACGCTTATAACAAGGCTAACCGATGGAATAAGTGCTTCAGCACTGGAGATATAGAATGACCTGTAGAATTAGTAGTGCTGGCCTCAGGAAGCAGCACAGAAAACGGACGTAGACTGCAGGAAGCAACACAGGAGACAGAGAATGAGCTGTGGAAGCAGTAGTTTTGATCGCGGCTGACCTGTGAAAACAGAACCGATGCTCCAGCAGCTGTCTCAGCAGCTCAAGGGCAGACTGGGCCCCTGCAGGCTCTGTAGCCGGCAGGCTGAGGTCATCTACAAACACTACCATCTGTTTCCCAGGGGGGGCGCCATAAACACCTTTTCTGACCCTGAGACAGAGACGGTGTGAAAGACAGACAGGTGGGAGAGGGAGGTAGGCTGAAACTCAGTACACATACTGTAAGAAGATGAGATTATAGACCAATACATCTCAGTGCTACACTCTCCGACATTTCGGTTAGCTGTGCCATTAGACGTTTCTGTAGTGGTGCCTATATTACTGAAGCCATTCAGGTTTTGTTTTAGTCATTCGGTTAGACTTTGCTAAGCGTCCTCTTTACTCAAAGAAGAAACAACCTGTCAGCCATGTTTTGAGGTGGAAACATGTCTACACTACCTCTAGCATGAAGCAAAGTAAGCAATGCCTATAACACTATACCAAATACCAAAAACACCACAGAGATGATCTTTGTAGCAAAAAGTAAAATGAGAAGCCTATAATCATACATTATCTTTATTAGCTCATGCAAACTACACAAGCAAAGTTAGGTTTTTATAGCTGAATTACAGATCTTCATTTCTTGTTTTTTCCTGATCTCTAGGCAATTGGATCATCTTCTATCCCTTAAAAATGTAAATGGAAGGCACCACAGAACTGTTTAACTCCCAAAGGACTGACCCACTTTAACCCCACAGTGTAACAGTCTAGAGGACATGTTTATACAGAAGATGTCCTGTGTTGAGGGTTGGGCGGTGTTGCCCAGCATTGGCAGAGCATGTGTGAAAGTGGGCCCAGTGTTCATGTACCTCTCCAGCCCCATCAGCAGCGTGTCCTGAGCGCGCTGGGCGGTGGTCTGGGAACAGAGGGTGAGGTGCCAGGCATGGTGGGTGCTTGGAGGCAGCTGGTGCAGGAAGCCACGAGCCGTGTGGGTCTTGCCCGCACCGGGGGGGCCCACCAGCAGCAGGGTGGACCCCCGCAGAACGAGCCGCTCCAGGAAGAACCTCTGTATCTCTGTCTGTGGGGTGACCACCACTGTGTCTCTCAGCTGACAGGGGGCAGGGGGCAGCGAGCAGCAGAACACAGAACACATGAAACGCAAGGCTGAGTTAAGAAAAGCAAACCGCTTAGAGATAAAAAAAGTTTCAGCTGCAGTGTGCAGGCCCACATAAAAATAAGGTAATAAATCTGCCTTGAGTCTGAGTAGAAAACCTAGCAAAGCCAAAAAGACAATATTAATTAGTTGCATTTGGATAGTGAGTTATCAGCGCTAAGCATCCCAGCGCACTTAACAAATAAGAGGGGAGCCACTTCATCTACTACTGAAATGCCGAACCATCTGGTTGACACACAGCAGTCAGTATGCACCAGCAGCCCCACTACACAGCGTATCAGAAGTGAGAAACTGCTTTACCAATGCAATTAAGGGCAAGAATTAGGAAGTCCTGCATGGAATTTGGTTAGGACACTACTGTTAACAGCCCAAAGTGGAATTTAGCCAGTATACAGGGGCTAACACCTCTAGTCTTGTGAACAATGCTCAGATACTAAATGTCATAGTAGTCAGGACCCAAAACACATCCAAAGAGTGGCACCTGCTGGTCCACCAACACCAGTTACAGTAGCAATATGGTTTTCTTTTTCCAGTACTGATGAGAACCAGCCTTGGTTAGCTTCTGAGATCTGAGCACATCAGACTACCAGAGAAGTGCTGCTTCCAAAAGGTTTTGTTTTCTAAATTAGTATTTTTAAAATCTAAACAAAAACTATTTGACATCATCCTTACATGTGGTGTAATTTTATAATTTATTGGAAAAATTCAGTCGAGGAGAGTTTCAGCTCAGGCCAAAGTGTATAAATATTTCTTACCAGAAGACGAGTGAGCCTGTTGTCCATCTTTTCAGTGGTAACGATCATCGGGAAGAAACAAACACATATTTTAATGACCACAAAAAGGCAGAAACTTAAGGGAGACCATACCAGAGTTGAAGAACTGCAGATTAATTCTGAGTTAATTTTAATTATGAATTCCTCAAAAAAAAAAATCCTCTGGGCACAAAAGTGGTTGACTACTAATAAGCAAAATATGGACTCAGATATTTCCTACAGCATCACATAACCAGCATATAAATAGAAATATACTGTTTGATAGGACAAATGGATAATTAAATAAGAAAACAAGAAAGGACCAAAAACAAATCCCTGTGGGACACCCCCTCAAAGAGAAGACAGGCTACTCCTATCTCTAGACCAGTCTGGGTTTGTTCCTGAAGCAATGAACTGATTTCTCAGCAGCATATCAGATGAGTATTACATTGGGAATCAATGATTAACAAAATAAAACTACATGAATGAGCTACAATACCACAGAGGCATTAACATAATTAGTGAATCCAACTGAGGCAATTTCTGATACTCAGATGTTTCCTGAGAACATGATGCTAACCTTTTAATAAACCATTTTTTCCATGCAAAAATTCAACCGAGGTATTCCAGTATCTGGGGACTTGTCTAATGTTCTAATAACCGATTCTAGAGAACTACGTTGTAAATTGTTAGAACTATAAAGTAATTTTCAATTTGCGTTGGAGGTAGCTTTTCTGGATGGCCACTCGAAATTCAGGTGTTCTCAGTTTTTCTTTTTGAGGGGGACCCGCACTGAAGTAAACACTTATTGGTTAATCTCTCACCGTGGTGCTGTCAGGCAGGGAAGTGGGTGAGACCAGGTCACTCCAGGGGTGCCAGCCTGTGCTTTGGTACACACAGTCAAACACACTGTGCCTCCTGGGCATTAGCAGCCCCCGGGCTGCTACATGCAGCTCTTTGGGCCGGGGGCAGTGGGAATCTCCCTCACACAGCCCGTGGAAGAACTGGCTGAACCTGCACAGAGAATGTTATCACACACACGAGCTTCCACATACTGGACCACAGACATACATGTGCTTAGACACACAGGATGTCAGACAGGACCTGTGGGACTGTATGTCTAAGCACATGCCTGTCTGAGGTCCTGTGTGTCCAAACACATGCCTGTCTGAGATCCTGTGTGTCCAAACACATGCCTGTCTGAGGT